GTGTCTTGTTAGTGATACAAAAAACTGAATCTTGCTCTGTGAAAAATGCAAGTATCGAACAAACCACAAATACACTGATGAAAAAGACTGCCCCCTGTTAGCTCACACTTGGAAGAAATTTACAGAAACATTAAAACTGCCTAAGTAAATTTGATAATTAAAAAAGGTTTGGTTGATTAAGCACTTTTTAATATAATGAGAATTAAGTTACACTAGTAAATTAGAATAAGAATGTCTCCAGGGCTTCCCTGGTGGCACAGTGGTTGAGAGTCCGCCTGCCGATGCAGGGGACAGGGGTTCGTGCCCTGGTTCGGGAAGATCCCACATGTCGCGGAGCGGCTGGGCCCGTGAGCCATGGCCACCGAGCCTGCGCGTCTGGAGCCTGTGCTCCGCAACGGGAGAGGATACAGCAGTGAGAGGCCCGCGTACCGCAAAAAAAAAAAAAAAAAAAGAATGTCTCCAGATTCAGAGGACCTTAATATCTTGTTATTCTGTAGTGTAGCTTAATTAGCATGTTTATTTCTAGGATTAGGAATCCATCTGCTCAGGTAATTACTATTATATTAATCTTTCTCTCTCTCTTTTTTTTCCTCCTGATCACAAGAATAATCTGTGGTTTTCTTCTTTTACTCATTAAAATGATTCTCATTATCTATTTGACAACAACACTTAACACACAAAAATTAAAAATACAATTAGGATGCTTATTTTAGTTAAAAATACTATGCATCTGACATATCAACTAAATATTCACTTTAGTTTTTATTGCTTTATACTATATATAAATTTCTCAAAGGTCAAGAGTCATGCTCATTTACTTCTCCAGTGTTCCACATAGAATCGTAAGTTGGTAGAATCCTATCTTATATTTTGATGCATATTTTTCAGGCAAGACTGATACTATTTTCATATTTTAAATGCAATATTTTCTTATAACATTTTCATAAATATGCTCTAAAGTTATTATACCATGGTGATATCTTATAAATTAATTCACATATTTTAAAATAATGTTTTACTTAAAAGAATTATTTCTTAAATGAATGAAACTATCTTTACTTTTGCTGACAGTGATCCCAAAATATATATGAGGACACTTTCACATCTGCAGTCTAAAGATTAAACTCCTATCTAAAATTTTATGGGTTTTGTTCGACTGATTTACCTTAGTAGCTGAATTGATAAATTCAAAAGCTGTTTGGTATCACTGTAAAGCTGCAGAGATTATCCTATAGAAGTGAGAACACATACACTGTATGATAGAGAATTTTATAACAAATATCTTAAGGTAAAATAAGGGTACTTCC